CAGCCTCTCTCATGGGGGCTCAGCCTCCGTCAGCCTCTCTCATGGGGGCTCAGCCTCCGCCAGCCTCTCATGGGGGCTCAGCCTCCGCCAGCCTCTCTCATGGGGGCTCAGCCTCCGCCAGCCTCTCATCGGGGCTCAGCCTCCGCCAGCCTCTCTCATGGGAGCTCAGCCTCCGCCAGCCTCTCTCATGGGGGCTCAGCCTCTGCCAGCCTCTCTCATGGGGGCTCAGCCTCTGCCAGCCTCTCATGGGGGCTCAGCCTCTGCCAGCCTCCCTCTCACACAGTGGAGATGCTCCAGTGTCCAGAAGCCTCTGCTGAGGCCTGTCCAGGGGTTGCCAACTCACCAGAAAGCCAGAGGTGCTGTCCAGCAAGCAGCGCACGCGACAGACAAAGCACCGTGTCAGGAAGGCAGCGTACTCCGGGGGCACGCCCGCGCCGTCTTCCTGGGCTCTGAGCAGCTTTCCCGGCATGATGTCATCTGCCAAGTCAGTGCGGGTGGTGGCAGGGAGGCCAGGAGGTGGTACCGTGGGGAGACATAACCATGGGAGGAGCAGGTGGTGAGTGGCTATGGAGCATGAAGCCGACCAACACCTGGCCTACGGCGTCACTCACCCAACGGCTCAGCGAAAAGCACTGCTTTCAGAACCGCTGCCTGTGTGCATACGGACCCATTGCTTAGCCCTATTCCATGAGGATGGTAGAAACTTCTCCGAGAGTTTCTTTCTGTGAAGGAACTAGGAAGAGCTCTCTGCACAGCCCCAGGTAGCGCCCAGGGCCACCTCTGCCACCCCCCCCAGCCACCTGCTGCGGCAGCTTGCACACGTGGTCAGAGACAATGGACAAAGGACAACCACCCCAAGACAACACTTTGGAGGGATTTTTAGATAAATTTTGAGCCTTGGGGAGTTTTTAAGTGACTGGACATGCAGGCCCTATGGGCTGATCTTCAACGCCAGCCAAGGCCCAAGCGCTGCAGGCTCTGCCCCACCCAGCGGTACTGGACGGTGGAGGAGAGTTTGAGAAGTGGGCCTAGCGGGAGGCCTTGGCCTCGGGGATGCTCCTCCCTTTCTTTTGTCCCCTGTCATGGGGTAAGAAGCTCTCTCCACCAGGGACTTGGTCATGGTGTTCTGTTTCCCATTAGAAGCAATGGGTCCACCCTGACATCCTGGGCCAAAGCCTCCAAGACCTTTTCTCATTACACTGAGCACCCTGAGTCTGTCCTGGTGATGCCAGGAGTCAACCAGAAAATGAACGCCCCCAGAGCCCTCCCAGAGCCACAACAGCCGCCTGGAGGAGGGCTGTGGGTGTGGGGGGAGGAGGCCTGCAGGAAAAGTGAAGTCCAGAGAGGAGAGGGGAGACGCGCCCACCTGTCTCGGGGAGTGGTGGCTGCGTGCGCGTGGCCTGCAGGGGGTCCATGGCCCAGTGCAGCTGCTGGCAGAAGTCCTGGCGGTCATCCACGTGGATATAGTCATAAATGTTCTGATGCATTACATCTGTCTAAAATATCAAAACACAGTTCTTTTACCCGTAGCCCCGATTTGCTCTGGTAAGGACCATGGAACCTCACCGTCTGTCTGTCAAAAGCAAGTCACAGCTATGAAGAGCTGTGTCCTGTGGGGAGGCAGGCTCTGTGCTGGCCTTGACCGTGAGCTCATCCTGGAAGGACATGGCCGCACGAGCCACGCAGCACTCCTGCAGTCACGGCTCGAGGCCAGGTGCGCTCTTATAGTCCCCAGAGTCACCGACACCTGGGGACACCTGCTTTCCTGAGGCCGCTCTGGATCTTGAAGTCTTGGCTGTCTATCATTACATGTCTCAAGACCCCGTGCCTCATGCCTTGGCCTGCCCAGTCCAAGGGCTTTGAGGACGACCAACTCAGACCTCTCTGTTCCTCGGACGGTCCACTTCCTCAGAAGGGCTGGAGGCTAGCCTTGCGGGCACCGCGTCCGCGTGGGAGGCCGCCATCTGGTGGCAGTGGAGGCCCTGGGCTCCGTAAACTCCCTCAGAGGCCCAGCCCAGGGTCTGCTGCCCTCCACTTTCTCAGAATGAAACCCTTTCTCATTCTGAATTAAGCCGGGTAGCCAACAGTTGGGCAGGCTTCAAAACAGGTTCATCTCTAGTGAAAATCATTCCCAAGTGATCATTACAGCGACAGAAGATTCTTCTAGAAGGGAGAACATTCCTTTAGGAATCAGCACCTTAGAAAGGGCGCCCGCTGAGATTGTAACTCCTGAGCTCCTCTGTGCGGAGTGAGCTCTGCTGCTGCTTCCCAGAATCCTCGCTGCTGCTTATAGTGCTGTGGTTAAGCTCCACAGGACCACATGTGTCACACAGACGCGTTTCGCAGGAGGCAGCACAGGCCTGTGGCCCGTCAGGAGAGGAAGAAGTGGTTAGAGCCCAGGGAACAGGCAGAGACGAGGCCCAGTGTGGTGCTGTTACCCGGGGCCTGGGCTCTGCGCGCTGGGCATCAGAACCCCTCAGACGCCCTTCTGGTGCCTGAACTGCGATCCGTGCCCTTCTCCACTGGTTGAACTGTACTCTGAAGGGGTACCGAGAGCTGGGGGGCTCTGCCGTCGAGACTAGACTGGAAATGTCTCATCTTTCTGGGGTCGCGTTCTTCCCGTGCACGCCTCCCGCCTCCCACTTGACATTTCCTATGGTGCTTTGTCTTTTGATACAGTTCACGTTACAGTGTCACCGCCTGGAATGGGGCCTCGGTGGTAGCTGACCTTCCCACTGCTGCCGGGCACTCACACACAGTGGTGTAGTGTGCACTCACACATGGTGCAGCCGTGCACTCACACACGGTGCAGCGTGCACTCACACACGGTGCAGCGTGCCCTCACACACGGTGCAGCGTGCCCTCACACACAGTGGTGTAGCGTGCACTCACACACGGTGGTGTGCACTCACACACGGTGGTGCAGCGTGCACTCACACACGGTGGTGTGCACTCACACACGGTGCAGCGTGCACTCATGGTGGTGCAGCGTGCACTCACACACGGTGGTGCAGCCGTGCACTCACACATGGTGGTGTAGCCGTGCATTCACATACGGTGGTATAGCGTGCACTCACACACGGTGCAGCGTACACTCACACACAGTGGTGCAGCGTGCACTCACACACGGTGCAGCGTACACTCACACACGGTGCAGCATGCACTCACACACGGTGGTGCAGCCATGCACTCACACACAGTGGTGTAGCGTGCACTCACACACGGTGGTGCAGCGTGCACTCACACACGGTGGTGCAGCGTACACTCACACACGGTGGTGCAGCGTGCATTCACACACGGTGGTGCAGCGTGCATTCACACATGGTGGTGCAGTGTGCACTCACACACGGTGGTGTAGCGTGCACTCACACACAGTGGTGTGCACTCACACACGGTGGTGTAGCGTGCACTCACACATGGTACAGCGTGCACTCACACACGGTGGTGCAGCGTACACTCACACACGTGTGGTGCAGCCATGCACTCACACACGGTGGTGCAGCGTGCACTCACACACGGTGGTGTAGCGTGCACTCACACACAGTGCAGCGTACACACACACTGTGGTGCAGCGTGCACTCACACACGGTGCAGCGTGCACTCACACACGGTGGTGCAGCTGTGCACTCACACACGGTGCAGCGTGCACTCACACACGGTGGTGCAGCCGTGCACTCACACACGGTGGTGCAGCGTGCACTCACACATGGTGGTGCAGCGTGCATTCACACACGGTGGTGCAGCGTGCACTCACACACGGTGGTGTGTACTCACACACGGTGGTGCAGTGTGCACTCACACACGGTGGTGCAGCGTGCACTCACACATGGTGGTGTGCACTCACACACGGTACAGCGTGCACTCACACATGGTGGTGCAGCGTACACTCACACACGGTGGCGCAGCCATGCACTCACACACGGTGGTGCAGTGTGCACTCACACACGGTGGCGCAGCCATGCACTCACACACGGTGGTGCAGTGTGCACTCACACACGGTGGTGCAGCCATGCACTCACACACGGTGGTGCAGCGTGCACTCACACACGGTGGTGCAGCGTGCACTCACACATGGTGCAGCGTGCATTCACACACGGTGGTGTGCACTCACACACGGTGGTGCAGCGTGCACTCACACACGGTGGTGTAGAGGGCACTCACACACGGTGGTGTAGCGTGCACTCACACACGGTGGTGCAGTGTGCACTCACACACGGTGGTGTAGCGTACACTCACACACGGTGGTGTGCACTCACACACGGTACAGCGTGCACTCACACACGGTGGTGCAGCCATGCACTCACACACGGTGGTGCAGCGTGCACTCACACACGGTGGTGCAGCATGCACTCACACACGGTGGTGTAGAGGGCACTCACACACGGTGGTGTAGCGTGCACTCACACACGGTGGTGCAGCGTGCACTCACACACGGTGGTGTGCACTCACACATGGTGATGTAGCGTGCACTCACGGTGGTGCAGCGTGCACTCACACACGGTGGTGTAGAGGGCACTCACACACGGTGGTGCAG